CCTGTCTGTCCATCTGGTTTATCTTATGAGCACAACAACTTGAAAAATGGGCAATGTACCGACTTCCATTTTAGTGTGTGGCTGTGTCTTGGAGTAAGAAAGGTCTATCAAAAATTGCATTGCCACGCCAAAATCCAAGATGACCACCACCATATAAATATATGTTAACCGGTTTCCCCAATCATTTGAGGAAACTATGCTTTCTAGGTTTTTCTAGCTTAAAAGTAAAGTTTACTCAAACATTTGGGGTGGCCGGAGATCAATGTCTGGTAGCCAAGACCACCTTTAGTCACCCATGCATCTGCTCTTACACACAGAGGAACTCCTAACCTTTTGAATATCTTGCACCAAAACATTAAGGTTTACTTGCATTCCCTGATTCCAGTCTAGAAAAACACTCATTTTGAAAACCACAAACATTCACTATTCAAATCCTTCAACAACGGAGGACATCGCTGCTTGTTTCCATTAAATTATGCCATATTAGGAAAACGCAGGTTGTGAGTTGAGTTTCTTGGTTGCACCAATGAAAATCTTGCAAAACCTTCTCTGCCAATGCGGGGCGGCTTATTTGTACTTTCTCATGATTTCCTGGTTCATGTTTCATATTTTCTTGTAAAAATGTTAAATCTATAAAGACATTAATGTTAACGCCTACACCAAAAATTCAAACAGAAGTGATCAAGTTCCCATAGCAACCCACAAGGTAATGAGACATTAACGTCAAATTGCAGTTTTCTTGTGACTTCATCAAATTTCATCCAACTAAATTATTATATTAGTTGTTTAAATGCAGTTTTTCTACCAGCATGGCGCTGGGCATTTTTCATTGTCGTAGCTCTTTTATTTTTCGACTGTTTAAAATTTCCTCTGTTATTAACCTATTCAGCATGATCGAAGTTTAAAAACAACAGGATTAATTAAAGTGACCAAACATGGAAAAACACGGTAAAAACGGCTTCATTGTTGTTTGGGTTTCTAGAAGAAAAAATGAGAATGTATGAAAAAGTTCTAACAATACTCCAAAACAACGATTTTACAAGTCTTCACTTTGGATATATATATATATATATATATATAGATATATTATCTTTGTGCTTCTTACTGTAAGCACCTTTTAGTATACGAACAAGAGGGGGAAAAAGGGATTTGCGAAAATTAACTGAATTTGTGTTTTCTGACGCTGCTGCTAAGACTCAGTTTACATGAAAGCAATTTCCTGCAAACATATTTTCTGATGTTGATAAACTTTACACGCTTGCATGCTAACGCTGTGATCACAATCGCTGGTTAGACGAGACTGCTAATGTCACTGAACCTCCTGTAGTTCCATGCCAGGTCACTAGGTGGCGCTGTGATTTTTGTGTTTCAACAAAAAGCATGCAGACACTTCAGCGTTTGTTTAAACTGACGGTGAGGTTGGGTCGCTGCTACAAAACACTTTAAGTTATAAATCTAAAAAGACTGACGATAATTTAGACGATTAATGGAACAGTAGCGCGCTTATTCAAACACTTTTGCTTTTACGAAAATTGTATTTTTCTGTAAAAAGATGTCTGGAGTTTTTAAAAGCTTCCACTCTGAGACCTGGATTTAAAAAGCTTCGGTCTCCGAAAATCTAATCGTTGCTGTTGTCAGTGTTGCCAGATATATGCTAATTAATTCATACAATATTATTTTGACGATAAATTAAGTCTATACAATAAAGAATAAATAGGTTATTTGAAACTTATATATGGAATTGTTTTAAGAATTCTGTGCCCCCCCCCCCCCCCAAAAAAAAAAAAACAACAAAAAAAAACAATTACCGGTACGTTTTATTTACGTAGGCACGTATATACCATCAGAAAGTCCAATCCGACGAGCCAGACTGTGCTCGCCATGTGCACGCTGTCTGTTGACCGAGTGCACTTGTGTCAACCATTGGTCGACAAAAGTGCACTCTTCTCTCCCTACCATCCAGATAAGAGGGAAAGTGAACCCACACTCAGTTAATACAATAGTTTGAGTCAATATATGATAATTTTAAAGTAGCAATACAATATATTATTTCCTATCTGGCAACCCTGGTTGCCATGTAAAAGAATGGCCTGATCGCAACAGAATTGTTCCAAAAACCAGCGTAGTGTAAATTTGGCCTAAATGTGGTTTAAATTTAGCCAAACATGATTAAAAGAAGACTTGCATTTAAACTTGCTTGTTATATATCTAAGCTTCCACATATTTATAATTTTAAGAGGTAAAGCATATTGTCCGTTGTCGGACATTTTCTTTCTCCTTGAAAATAAAATTAATTTGCTTTTATTCCACAAAAATTGCACCGCTGAATTCTTCTCACAAGACACAACTTCTATGAAAAGTATATATCAGCTGGTTTTATTGTTCAGCCCTACAAGTGAAGAGCTAAACCTTTAATTCAATAAATCAGACGGTGGCGACTTCACATGTTTGATTTCCTGTCAGAAACGAGCAAACATCCAGAATCAGACCTCACACCTCCCCTTTGACCTGAGACACCAGAGCTCGGCGAACAACCGTGAATAAAGGAACAGTTGAAATTAAGAGGAGGGTCGGATGAATTTCTGCTGATCCGACCCTGATCAGCACTCCAACTGTGTCTGATTCCCCTCGTCGCGTCCAAGGTCTGAAAAGAGTAACTCTGCCCAGAATGAATTATTTATCGGGAAATGACTATAGTGTTTATCTTTTTTCTCAACACTGCAGAGACGGTGGAGCAAATATTAAAAAGGACCTTCCCCCGCTCATGTTCAAAACTCATTACCAAGTCGAGCTTGTATGTTCAACCGGTGTCCTTATAGAGGACGGGGGGGGGGGGGGGGCTTATCTCCACCGTTGCGGGGGTTTAATCTCCTTTAGAGCTTCCGAATCGGAGGCAAGCAAAACAAACATTGGAATTAAAACTGGTTTTCCGCGGTGCTTTGCTGCTTGTTCTGGTCAGGGCGTCGCTGAGAGATAAAGAAGTAGTACCGGTAGATAAAAAATATTCCCTACTTGGTGATTTATTGCATGCAATGGAGGGGAGGGGGTTGATTAAAATAAAACATGATTTCAGCCAAGACAGAGCTAGTGACGGTGATTAAACAGGCTTTTTGTGTTTGCTCCGACCAATTTATTGGAGGATGACTGGTATCCATTTTTATGGCCAGTGCCAATCTTTACAAACCAGAGTTGCTGATATACAACCAGTACTTACATATTTGCCAAATTCAAGAATATAAATGTGAGCTATCACAATGAATCGAGAAACAAGTCAGATTTGTCCAAATGAACTAAGCACATTTTAAGATTTCTGGCTTTGACCAGAGATCCGGTTCCAGAGATGTGGACTGATTGGGCTGGATAATCGGAACAACCCCTGGAAAAGTGGTCTGAGTATTTCTCAACATAATTTGAAAGAGGAGACCTCAAATCATCTGTACATATTGGGATTTCCCAACTGAAAAGAAATGAACAGGAAAAGTAATAAACATTTAAGACTTTTCTGATCAAAATCATTGTTTGTTGGGTCCTTTAGGAGAACTGGGGGTTAAGTATGCACAGGATAGCCAATTTTTTTAATGGTCAATATCAATGAATTGATAAGCCTGTCTCTACCTTGTAATTAGCTAATATCAAACAATTAATCATCAGACTCTACCATTTAATTAGCCAGTATCAGACCATTAATTGGTCTGTCTGCCATTTAATTGTCTGACTACCATTTAATTAGCCAATATCAGACCATTAATTGGCCTGTCTGCCATTTAATTAGCCAATATCAGACCATTAATTGGTCTGTCTGCCATTTAATTGTCTGATTACCATTTATTTGGCTAATATCAGACCATTAATTGGTCTGTCTGCCATTTAGTTGTCTGACTACCATTTATTTGGCTAATATCAGACCATTAATTGGGCTGTCTGCCATTTAATTGTCTGACTACCATTTATTTGGCTAATATCAGACCATTAATTGGTCTGACGTTCATTTTATTAGCCAATATCAGACTATTAATTGGTTTGTCTGCCATTTAATTAGCCAATATCAGACCATTAATTGTCTGACTACCATTTAATTAGCTAATATCAGACCATTAATTGGTCTGTCTGCCATTTAATTGTCTGACTTCCATTTATTTGGCTAATATCAGACCATTAATTAGTCTGTCTGCCATTTTATTAGCCAATATCAGACCATTAATTGGTTTTTCTGCCATTTAATTAGCCAATATCAGACCATTAATTATCTGAC